CCAAATAAATAATAAAATAGCTATTTTGGTTATCAAGTTATTTTAAAATACAATTTCTTCCAACGATTTCTACCAAATACTTTCACCAATTACACTAAAAGTATCATCAATCTAATAATTCAATGAGAAAATTTTAATTTATTTTTGGTAGTAAAAGATTTTCTTAAGTAATTCGTTGTGATTTTTTTTCCAGCACTTATGCTCGAAATTAGGTTGGAGGTTTCTATAACAATTTAATTTGTTCTTTTGCACCCTAGGAAAAAAAAAAATCAATAAACAAATGAAATTGCCCTAATTAATTTAAAATATTCAATTCATGGAGTACTGCGAATGATTGATTGTATTTCGAGGGTGCAAAGTGCTAATTATATTTTTTAAGGGTGTAAAGTGCCAAAATGCTTTTAAGGGTGCGAAATGGATTAAGCCCCTATTAAATGGGTAATTTGCATCGACCCTTGAACTATAGTTATTTGTCAACTATACCCCAAAAATTTTAAATACAGAAATTAAAATGATAGCCCAATAGAAGGCGTAGTATGGAATTAAATGATAGCCCAATAGAAGGCGTAGGATGGAATTAAAAAATTAAAAAGGATAGGCAAATAGGGAGGCCTAATATGAAATTATTATAAATGTGGCCTTCATTTATTTCATCATTATTAATTATTATCATAGACATCTATATGTTGTACTTCTTCATTGAATCTATAACAAAATAGTGGACTTTTCAATCCACCTTAAGACATATTACATTGTCGACCGATATCTCAATTGGATCAATTATTGGACGAATATGAATAATAATAAACAAGACTTACATACAATTCCATGGCCACATGAAAAGTGTTTTTTTTTTATTTAATGAATAAATAATAATAATAAAAAAAATCCAAATTTGATTAAAAGACAAAGAATCAATTTATATTGGTAGACCTACTACTCAATTAAGAAAAAAGGAAAATTTCTTTTTCTTTTTTATCTTGGTTTATCGAAATAAACTAATTTACAATATCACCACACCAATAATTGATTTTTTTTCGACAAATAAACCCACAATATCACATATGTGCACTAGGTAAATCTAATTTTCGGGCAATAGATACTGAGCTACACGAGGGATAAATCTTACAGGCATCAACTACTTCGATCTTAAAAATACTAATAGAAGAAATCGAACTCGAACCATTGGACCCCAACACTCTCTTATTTCACCAACTGCAGTCAAAGACTGTAATTACGACAATATTTGATTCTCGTCTTATCTTTAACTTTAGTTATATCAAATTTCGCATCGTTTCTCGTTTTCCCTCCCCACACATGAATTGACCCCACTTTAATTTCCAACCCCCACCTCAAAGCTCCATAATTTGAGCTATGTGGTCACTTTGTATGTACTTCCTTTTGCCTTTGGCACAAATTGGATAATTATCTAAAAGTTTTATTTGACAACTTGGGGAATTTATTTGTGAAAAGTTGAAATGAAGAATTTATGCACTAGATATGTGGATTAGATGTCTCAAGTGTCATACTTGTAATCACATAGGATATTAGAATGTATTTTATAATCTATGGCACTCAATAGGTGTACACTAGCCAAGTGTATAATATTTACGGTAAAGAAGAAGAAATCTGCAATCAACTATTTATATAGCATATTATATTGAATGAACATTCATTCTCGTGCAATAGTTTGTAAACCATATCAAAAATTAAAGTATTTAATTTTGATAAATTTAACTTAAAAAGCCTAAGCCTTGACAAGGAGATTCGAAAGCTGGTCTTTTACTTGCTCTTTTTAGCTCGGGGCCAGCTCAGTCTCGCGAGGCGCCCCCCGGGTCCCTTTCTTTTTTTTTTTTTTTTTTTTTTTTTTTTTTTTTTTTTTTTTCTTT